ATCCATCTTTTAAACCTTTGCACCAGAAATTTCTGTTTACCGATAATCCCCACTGTGTACATTTTCCAATTCAGTTTATTATAATGCAGTGTTCAGTGACTATATACGTTTCCACACAGGTTACCTACAGATCCTACTAGCTTGCTTTCCCAGAGTGCTTCTACAAAATATACCAATTTTTCTGAAAGCTTTTACCACCCCTATATACATTTAAATAAAAGCTCTCCTCATGTATGGTGTTTTATGAATAGAGATACTTGATTAATTTCTGAGATGCCCAAATTAATACTTTAGACATTATGCCCTAAGTGCGTTGGCAGATTGATTTATATTTTTAGGTTTCCCAATTATTATTAAAATCATCATTAAAGTTAGAAAATTAGTTACTCTTATGAGTAAGACTGGATGCTTTTGGGACACATAAAACGGTGTAATATAAATATACACATGGACGTTAAAGGTGGTATCAAAGATCTCTTGTGAACATCCACTGAAACAGGTGTCTTTGTAGAAACACTCAGAAACCAAACGGATAGTGTCTGCAGGTAACCTATGTAAGCGCAGGGGTATATTAACTAAACATCAAACTGTAGAGAACAGAAAAACTGAATTGCAAAATTTAATATACAGCCTATCCCTGCAGTCTGAGCTTTGTAAACAAGCCTTTTCTAGGAAAAAAGGAGTGTTTTCATTGCTGACTATGAACACCTCTAGTGGCTGTCACTCTGGTAGCCACTAGAGGGACATCCAAACATTGCAGGACCAACATTCAGCATTTACATGCTCTGCATGGAGACACTAAGTGCTCCCCATATAGTTGCATTGACCCAATATCTCTGAGGAGATGCAGATTGGCACAGCACGGCCAATGCTCCCCAATGTGATCATCGTGACTGATAATCTCAGCCATGGAGCAACACAGAAAACAGAGTGCTTTTTAACTCTCACGAGCAGGGGAACTAGTGAATGCAAAGAGAACAGGTTAGTATTTCTATTGCTATAGTGTTCCTTTAATGTTTATTCCACTACAATTTTGCATTTAGTAAACAAAGCTTATATTCTTTTTACTGTCTGTTCGCTCATTAAGAACCAAGTGTATTTTTTCCACTGTGCAATGTTCGCTCAGCTTCGCATATTTCTGTGCATATACATTACAAATCTCTCAATGACTAATTTATAGACAGGAGTGCATGTTACTAGGAAGCATTGGGAAAGTTAACTAAATTGAGCCAATTTTACATGTGTAGTAAGCATAATTCTATTTTTGTCTGTTCGATTCCTTTTCTAGGTGCTGGTTAGTAGACTCTTTCATCCCAATATGTTAAAATCCAGCCATACAGAAAGTTGAGGGAGGTTAAGGCTCATGCTAAGCCAAGATTCGACAATGCTGAGTAGCACTTTGCAACCACTGCTGAGACAGGTGTATAAAAGGCAACTTTGGATATCTATTGAGTTGAGATATGGAACATTTAGTGTTGAATAAGCTGGCTTAACAAAATTGTTCTAAATTTACAGAGTAAGACTGAGCCCTATCTTGCATGAGCTCTGGGGAGTCGTTCATGGCTGAATACTATACAGTCCTTCAAATAAAAAGCATTTGGAAAGTAAGTGTGGTTTGCAAGATTGATGAAGAACCCATATGTTCCCCATTAAAGAGAGAAAAACTAAAATGCATAATTACACTGTTTAATGCACGTACTTAGCAAATATTTGGAATTAGTATATGGAAATCCATTGCAGCCATTTGGAAATATGACAATCTCATAGAGTGATACAGAGCAGATTTTTGCCCGCAAACATTTTGCTTTGTTAATGTGACCTGGCAAGGAACGGACATTAGGATACAAAAAAAGGATCAGCAAAAGGAATAAATATAAATAATAATAATAAAAAAACTGAATACGACGAACAAAAACAAAACATAAATGGTAGATGTTAAGAATTCTTCAGGAATCGGCACATTTAAAGACTGTGATATTTTGCAGAAGGAGAAAAAAAAATGTAATTGCTTAGTCAAACAGATTATAGATTGAAAAGAGAAAAAAAAAATCTCTGACATTCTCACAAAACTGACAACGAATTTAGCTTAATTAAAGTGTTGCAGGGCCCCTGGCGCAGTACAGGCTGGCTTCAAATTAGGATATTGGCAGGCCTATATTTCCTTTAATGATAAGTAGGTTCTACTTTGAAAGGCAGACACTGTGGGTGACAAACATTTGACCTTAGCCGTGTAGTTCAGTTGCTAAAAAGAGATATACAGTTATTACACAAATCAAGTATTATTGGAATCACATTGCAATCTCAAAGTATTTATAAAAGGGAATAAGTATTGTAGGACAGAGATAGTGAGATTGCTATAATTACGGATACAAATATTATTTTCAAGTGTCCATTTGCTAATGTGAACCTGCCCACACTTTTTCTTTTTTTGTTTGTTTCCAATTTCTTTAAATCATCTCCTCCTCCCAAAATTAGTCTAAGTTACGTTTCCGAGCTCTCAATATGAAAAAACACACACTGGATGTAAGATGCTTCAGAGCAGTGAGTGATGATTTATGGTTCGAAACAAGGCGACAGAAAGATGCATTTAAAACACAGGTCAGACATCGGATTGATGTGATGATACAGGTCTAAAACAGACAGAAGAGCCAGAGATAGTGTGACAGAGATTTTCAGTTATATGGAGCTTTGACTGTCATTTTCATGTATTTTCATTTTCAGATCCTATACACTTTGTATTATTTTCAGTTAGGGGCTTACCTTAACTGATTATCAGAAATAATTAAAAGAAATAGAAACTCTCTTATAGACTATATATATATATATTTGTGAATAATATTTGTAAACTATATTTACCCAATATCCTCTTTCCTTTAGTTTCCCAAGTAGTCAAATGTAGAGAATGTAGGATGCCATCTAAGTCAATGATATATTCATTTTTTTCTACATTGACTGGCATCTCCATTTTTTTTTAACTTGCTATTTTTCTTTCCTTCTTTTGAATGTACCAAATGAACTAGATGCAGATTTTCTCTATACGTTAAAATACCTTTTTGTTTTCTTTGCCAACTTGCTTGTCCCCACACATTTGTGAACTTGCCAGTATCATATTTAAAACAAAATCCAGGTATACAGCATTCCTTTTCATGATTAAGAGTTGTGTGGTGTATTCAATACCCCCACTTTAGAACAGGAGGATACAAGAGGAATATCCTGACTTGTTCTGTTGTTGGGAATAAAGAAGAGTTTCTGGAAGAATAAAAGTCCAGCTCGCACTGGGATTAAAATCAAATTCATGCTGAGGCCCCAGATATCCGAGCCGAAACAAGGTGCAAGAGAGTTTCACGTTTGGTGTCTCTAATCTGCCCATGTTCAGTGCACTTTTTATCTGTGTATATATGGGCACTAATTCCACAGTGTAAAGCAGATCGTCTGTGCCATGACTTCAAGTAGTTCCAGTAGAAAAAGTTAAAGGGACACTATAGGCACCCAGACAACTTCATCTCACAGTGGCCCTGTCCCCATAACCCTGCAATTGTAATTACTGCAGTTATTGAGTAACTGCAATAATTACATTGCAGGGTTAACTCTACTTCTAGTGGCTGTTTACTAGACAGACACTAGAGACGATTCCAGGTCCTTAGAGGACTTTCGATCTGCTATATGATGCTGGGTATCCTGACGCTTCGCATGAGGACATCCAGCATCACTAATACCCCATAGGAAAATGCTGATACAATACTTTCCTATGAGGTCGTCCTAATATGATCGTGGCAACTACGCATTAGGTCACCAACGTCGGCAGCAGAGAAGTGGAGTCGGAGACTCTCCCAGCGCCGAGGTACATCGTTGCAAAAGGTGATCACCTGGTCTGAGACAAATGCAATGATATCATCAAGTGGAGTCGGTCCACTAAGTCGACACCATGGCTTTCAGAAATTCCCATTAAAAGATTTTGCAATCAACCATCTCTTAGCCAAACGTTAAACTTTTGTAACCGGCTATTCTAATAAACTTATGTCTTTAATTATATACTCATTTAATATCCATATATTCCTTATATGAACCTCAACCAAACACACAACATATTGGAAAGGATTTTATAACCGATATGAGCTATAACACGGGAGCTACCTGCAGAATATGTACATTTTGCTTTTTTAAAAGGGCTACACTGGTGATAAATAATCGGGCATCGTACAGCTTTGCTGAAATATGGACAGCCAAACAAAACAAAAAAAAAGTAAAAAAACATAAAATGTTTTATTTCATTTTTTTAATCAAAAGTCATTTTCATGCAGCAAAAATGCTACTGAGTTTTGAAAGAAAGATTAACAGATAATTTTCTTCCCCTTCACAACTGAATAGCGCAGTAATCACCCCTAGCTTATGTGGAGTACAGATGTTTGACTAAAACAGGGTAATGAACGCACCATTCATGTGAGCACAAAATGTGTTGAACAAGGCAAGTATTAATTTTAACAGTTTCATTTTTAGTCTGCTGAAAAACATTTCAGTTTTATTTTTCCCTAATTAGCACAAGAGCTGCCAAGTATAATACAATATCGTTTTGAGAATTAAAATGTAATGTAATGCAGGATTCTATGAGTTATATGGCTGAAGCAAAGCACAGAGCCAGTTTTATACAAGGATTGCATGCCAAGCAGGTGGAATTGCATGCGTCGGTATCCCAGTCTCTGGAGAAGATTTGGGGATGTTACCTTTCTTTTTACAAAAGGTGCTAAGTTTACTGCACATGCACAGTAGCAGATTAAATATATATTTGTGGTATATATTCCTTGCAGTCTCATAGAAAGAATCATTAAAAAAAAAACAACTGGAATAAAAAAAAAATTAATAAAAAAATAGGTACACTGGACAGGCAACTCCAGGCTAAACCGAAAATAGGTCCTCCCCCCTCATTCTAATTTAGGGCCCCCACCCGCCGCTCAGGGGTGGGGGCCGGAGGTGACATTAGGTCCCCCCCAATTAGTATTTAGGGCCCCCACCCCTGAGTGGTGGGTGGGGGCCAGGGGGAGAACATTAGGTCCTCCCCCTCATTCTAATTTAGGGCCCCCACCCACCGCTCAGGGGTGGGGGACAGGGGGGAGGACATTAGGTCCTCCCCCCTCATTCTAATTTAGCGCCCCCACCCACCGCTCAGGGGTGTGGGCCGGGGGGAGGACATTAGGTCCCCTCTAATTAGTATTTAGGGCCCCCACCCACCGCTCTTTGTTTTTTACAGTGAGCAGCCACAGGCTAAGTAATCTTTACTTAGTATTAGTAAATTTGGCTGAAATACCAATTTTGGTCATTCAGCCTTTTAGTATATAGCTCCCTAATACCGTGGGAATTAGGGAGTTATCTACTTATTCATTTCAGTCATTACATTGACTAGCCAAGTAACTTACATTTTATATGAATGTATGTTACTTGATTGCTGTAAGTGTTGTAAATGCTTACAGCTGAATCCTGGCTGTGTTTGTATGCTTTTTATTTAATATTGTATACAGTGTAACATTCTTCTTCTTCCACTGGGTAAGCATATTCGTACTTAGGCAAAACTGTGCTTCGGAACTTCGGGATTTCGGTAATTCGGCACTTCGGCTTTTTGGACATTCGGAAGTACCCTAATGTCTGAATTGCCCGAAATTCGTCCGAATACATATTCGTCCCGAAACGAATTGCACATGTCTATTCCAGACCAAGACATCACCCCAGAAAGTCTTATGACAGCAAATATGTTCTTTTTCAACCTTATTTTATTATTTTCTTTTTCTCTTTTATTATTTTCTCTTGTTTTACCTTACGCTCAGTTTGGATTTATTAATATTCTCTACTGTATGACATAACGTTCACAGCATAGCTCAACTCATATTATCCTATTCTGGAAACACACAAAGATACACATTCGTACCCGGAACGGCAATTCAAATATCCTCCTACCCCTTTTTCTCCTGTAATCCATTAAACAGTTTAGTAGCCCTTCTCTGAACTTTCTCCAATGTATCAATATACTTCTGGGGACATGGTCTCCAGTACGGTGTACAATACTCCAAGTGAAGCCTCACCAGTGTTCTGTACAATGGCATGAGCACTTTCCTCTTTCTACTGCTAATACCTCTCCCTATACAACTAAGCATTTCCTGCTGCTCTATTACACTGTTAAATTTAGAATCTGTCCTGTTTTGCTAATAGTCTGGTAGAACCTGCTACAGCCTTCTATGCATGATCAAAGTTTAGTTAAAGCAGCTATGTCACCATCTGAGATGTTTGCATATTTTGCAAAGAACTCTGAAGGTCTCTGCCCCACTAGATGCCTGTTGACCGCTTGGTACAGGAAAATAAAATTTGCTTACCTGAACCTGTCCCACATGACCACCACCATGATTTTCCCTATGGTCGTCTTCAGCTCGTGGAGCTTAATCTGCAAGACATGTATAGTGATCACGTGTGTCTTGCACATGTGAGTGAGGGATTGAGGGATTCTCCAAAGATAATGCCTTTTACCCCTCAGCGGAGGAAAAATATAAGACTTGACAGCAGTAGCTCCACATTTAGTCAAGCGTAGGAAAAAATACTAAGACAAGTCCCTATTTTTTGGGGGGAATTTCAAAAAGATTAAATCTTTATGAAATACATATTTTGAAGGGGGAGGGGTGACAGTGCAAGAGATAAAAATGTCTAAAGTGTCAAAAGTAAACACACTGTGCGATAAGATCGGATTCAAAATCAAACCTTTTTGTCACAGCCAGAGAGACGTGGTTAGGGCTGCATAAACAAAGTGATTTCACTCAAATGGCAGAGAATAAGGCAGTGACACTGTAGAAGTGTGATCTATACATTGAACAGCTTCAGTTGTTTTGGTGCATAGAGTGTCCATTTAATCATGGAGTTAAAGTAACACACCAGACACTAAAACAACTCCATCGAAATCAGCTGCTGACTGGCAGAAAGGGGTAAGCTGATGCTCTCAGCCAAATCAGTGAATCTCCATTCATAAAACTGGCTTGAAAAGAAACGCACCTTTTTTAAGCCAGGTTGAGAGAGAGAGACACACACACACACAAAAAACATAGGCAGCTCTCATGATCTTTATGCCTCCAAATGATACTCAGACTTCATTAAAGAGCAAATAAAGCAACAGTGTAAAAATAAAAAAACTGCAGGTTATTTTACAATGATGAATGCAAAAAAATAAAAATAAATAATAGGTCCAGAATATTAAGGTCTATTAATTTAAAATGTTCCCATCAGTAACTCGAAGAAGAACAATGCGAGACACACCATGATTGTTAAAAGCACGACTGGGATGGAACTGTAAATTATCGCAAACTATACTTTTAAACGTACATCCTCAGCACCACGTTAAAAAGAGAAATGTTGCCTTTTATAAGTAGCTATTATGATGGTTTATTGCCAGCCCATTAACATGAAACGGTAGAATATGAAAGGACTCAAATCTGTTATTTTATGGGAGGACAGTGAAGATCTACAGAGGAGCCAGAACAAGCATTGATTCTCAAAGGATTAGGCTCTTGAGGCAATAATGTTTTGCAAAAACACCATAATGAAATTCAAGTGACTGGCCTGTAAATCTCAAGAGGAAAGAATGACCCGAGGCTGGCTGCTGTTCATGCCACAATGGGGGTTGAATGAGTTCTAATCTGACCCTTGAAAGCGTCAATTCGGTTGGAAAGGAGCAATAGGAAATGCATAGACAAATGCTACGGAACGGTCTTCAAAATACAGGAACACAAAGTTTAAACACAGTAACAGAGTGATATTGCTTCTTTACGAGCAGGTATACCACTGCTTGCCAGTCTCTGATGGTCAAGACTTGCTGGAAAGATTCCATCTAGTTTCTTATCTATTTGTAGGACCTGTTTCACATGCTGCCATTCATTAGACTCTTCTCAGATTGTGAATTGTTAAGTTTCGCTGCAATAATTAAGGTGGAGCTGCTACAGGAAACATTCATTTTGATCGGTTGTCTGGGATCTGATGAATATAGAGTCCAAAGAACAAAACACTGCTCGAGAAAGAACCTTGTTTGAAGCCTATGGTCAGTACAGACATCTAGCCAGTTCAACATGCAGTTGATGCAGATGGGTTGTTGGGGCTCTAGGTTTAAAATTAATATCAGATACAAACAGATTCTGTATTAGGAATACAGGGAGGGGTCCTTCCCCGGGTTGGTGTTCAGAACCTGCTATTTTACGTGGTTCTACTCCTTCTCCAATGCAAGTGTAATCAAGGGAGTTATTAACTACCCTCAGGAGGTAATTGTACACAAAACCATAGTAGAGCTACCAAATAGTATCGCTACTTTCTCTCATATATGCACAACCATCATTACTCCAACCACCATCACAACTTCTGCTTGTAGAAGTCATTATGCTGGTAGGAATTTGTATGTGCAGCTTTTCAGATTGATTGGGATATTTGCACTTTTGTGCCAGGGGCTAGTTATACTCCCGGGACATGTAACTCTGTTCCAAGCTGCCAAACATAAATTCTGTATAAAAATTACATTGGTCATCGTATTTGTGTAGGAGTGGAAACTAACACTTGATTCAAAGTAGTTTTTTTCTTTGTTTTATTCTTTTGCAAGGTAAGGACCTATTTAGTAATGCCCAACAGGGCATTCTAAAATTAACATAGACATTTTCCAAAGAAAGGGTGAAATAACCCTTTCATTACACTAAAACTATCCTATTCAAACCAGGTGTAAACACAAGCACAGAAACAACAGTTTCCGGACACGTGACTGAATGATTAAGGAGGGAGTCTACATCTGATTGGCTACAGGGGGATTTAAAAGTCCCGGCTTTTTTGCGAGACAATTCTTATCCCATGACGAAGGTGTTCTAACACACCGAAATGCGCGTCGGGCGCAATCATCACTTATTTGTTCACTTTAGAGACACACTTTACCACTATGGGTATTTAGACCCTTATAGGTTAATATAATTTCTTTTTTACTTTATACAGTGCCGTCCATAGAGTTAATGTGATGGCACATTAGGCAGCTTTCTTTTTTTGTTCTTCTTAGATTGAGCCACAGATTAGAACACCCTTGAAGGTGTTTGGAGGATATTAGGGAGTAGTGTATAGCTTTTCTTTTATATGGACACAAGAGGAGCCTGTTGTTTTCAGTTCCCTAATTTACTCCTTCTGGATATGACTCATAAGAAGTAGTTACTCTACTTGCATCACTGCTAATGATTGCAACATTGTATTTAGCCACACTTTGGCTCTTTACTTTTTGCCTTTTCTTTTGCTGTCAATGTGGATTTATGGGATTTTTTGTAAGGGTCAGTAGGTACAGACCTCCAAGTTGTTGAAAACACATTACTCTGCCAGTATTCACAATATTTTTCAATTTCTATATCTATTCTGGTACAAGCCCTTAGGTGGACTGGCACCACCTTCTGACCACAACTCTTGCCTGCTTTTTTTCTCTAAATACCTGTTTGTTTTCCATCTATATAGGTATTTTGGGATCATTAGGCAAGTTATTCAGTTCTCACAGAAACAACAGTCCTAACACTAATTGCTTTAGACAAGGATGACATCCAATAGCAATCATTAAACGTCTCTAAAGTCAAAAGCTGGCTGAATTAATACCTGCAATGCCAGTGGATAGCCAATAACGTTACAATGCACAAGTTCATAACAAAGGGAGACCAAACAGTCCATATTCTCTGGGCCCATAGTCTTTAATACAATCTTTCACTGCAGAGGGGGTGAGGCACATGTCTGGGTTAATAAGGAAGAAGAGACACTAGGAGAGGGAATGTTCTGTCAAATATTCACTAAAGCTTCAGTGGAATTTTTGTAAAAGGCACAATAGATTAGAATAGTCTTTGGCAATTCCCTTTTTTATTTTTTTAACAACTATTAGGCCTGCATTAGCCTATAGCCATTATCCCTCACCATTTATTTTTAATGTTTTTGCCTGTCTGCTCTTATACGGCTGAAAAATAGATTCATAATAAATTCCTATTTCCTCTGGAGGTTCCTCTTCTTTAACAGAGCCATGGTTTCTCCCTGAGAACTGCGCGGTGATATTGTTAGGATCCCGATAGCCACTGTGCAC